TCAGGACATTAGTTGTTCCATAACTCCCCCATAATCATGTCACTACTACCACCTCTCATGGCCCTTTGTTTAGACTCAAGTCTTCAGCCACTTTTTATTGCCAGTAACAATATTCTGGGACACATTTACAAGAACTAGCTGGTCTATCCCACTCAACACAGCAGGTGATGTGGCATCTACAGTGCTAAGTCAATCTACAGCACTTAAGTGGTCTTTCATATTCAAGTACTGTATGAAGCCAGGCCCTGTCTTTTACATTTTTCCCATTTTGGAATAAAAAAGAAGAGTGGTGGCAAATATTTAGACTGCACCTAATTCTCATTGAATTTCAATGCAAAATAACTGATTTGAGGTCCCTTTGAAAACTACAGCCTTACAGCTGAAGAACTACTGGCCCAGGGTAAAGGTCCAAGGCTAGTTTAAAATTCAAGATCAGATGTTTTTCTTGGGAGATATGATCTTGTTCAACTGGAGCATGAATTAATTCAGGGAAGTGTTATGCAAGAGGTGATCATAATTGTCCCTTTGGTCATAACTTTCATAGGGGTGGGTGGGTGAGTGAGAGAGAGAGAGATGTTATAAATGTTCAGTCAGTCAGTCTCTCTCTCTCTCCCACTCCCCCCCTCTTGTGGTGTATTGAGGACTGGGTTGGGATTGCAAATTATCACTTTTAAAGTTGGGGGGAGGGGTTTCCTGGTCCTGCTTACAGGCCAGAGGGCTCTGTAGAAAAGTGTGAAAGCAGAGCCAGTCTGAAATAAAAGTCCATTTAAAAGGTAAGAAAGATGAGTTTTGTCTCACTGCCTTAGGGAGGAGCCTGTTCACTCTCTCTCGGATTCTGGGGTCTTGTGTATTATTGTTCTGAATTCTAAGATATAAAAGTAGCACTGTGTTACAACCTTCCAGCAAGAGTATATGTTTTTATCTAATCCTGTGTGTGTGTATGTTTATAACAGAACTAAAACCTCACAAAACTTGTAATGTGCAAATTAAAGGGAAACACTATAAAATCATAGAACTGTATGGCCAGAAGGGACATCAAGAGATCTTCTAGTCCAGGGATACTCAGACCTCAGTGGTTCAGGAGCAAAATTTGCTATCAACATTCCCAAAAGAGTCACAATAGTGTGAATTCATTGTTTCATTTACTATTTTTTATATTACACACACACACACACACACACACACAAATTATTCTCACAGAAAAATTACTGACCAAGGGTTATTTTGGAACATAGTACCCCGATTGGTTAATAATTAAATCACACAGTGTTTTAATATCACGTGCTGCAAAGTGCCACAGGAGACACATTAAAAAGCCACATGTGGCTCACAAGCCTCAGTCTTAGTATCACTTTTCTAGTCCATTCCCCTCCACTGAGGCAGAATTACATATACTTTGGACATGCGCCACACTCTGAAAATATACTATTTGAGTTAAACTGTGCCTCCTAAAACAAGATATTTCTAACTACATCTAGTTCATACATATCAGCAAGAGCCATGTTGCATAAGCAATGGTTTTACTATTCTGAAAAGCGAGAGCCAACTCAAAAGTTACATTAAAATGACAGAAGCTGGGCCACATGTCAGGAGATTAGGTTAAAATTGTTCACAGATGTATTTTTATTGCTACTATTATTGGCTGTATTCCAAAAAGCACAGGAGAGAGAAAAAAAGTCTGAAACTTACTGGTTGACCTCCCCACCATCTGTGATTGAATTTCTCTCGCCCTCGAAGACTGAAGCTGGCATCAAATACGGGGTCATACATGGAATTGCCAACAATTCCATGTGATTCAGGATAGAGTCCCTTTGTGCAGAAGTAGATTAATTAGTGAACGTTTAGTACATGTAAAATGCCGTTGTGCACAGTTATCCACAAATACCAGTAAATTCTTTAAGAATGGAAAACTGGGTATGCCTGTAATCTTCACCCGAATTAAGAGATTTTAGTTTTAAGATAAAAAAAATGTTTAGTACTTTAGATATTCATTAAAGCAGTACGAGATAATTTGCATACCCTGATCTTGTCTTAAAGCATAGGTACTTCAGCAGTTAGATCTTTTTTAATGTAGCTATCACTTATTTTCTTACTTAAATGGCAAAAATGTATTTCATCCAGTATGAAAATACTTTAAAGTAGTACTTTCAGTTCATCTTTGTAAAATATTCTGGTGACAGTAAGTGATTCTTTGGTGACAAAAATAAATAACAGTAATAATAATAAATAATAATATAGTTAGCATTTAAATTTCATCATGTTTTACCTTCATATTGCTTAGCAAGCGTAACTTAATCCTGAGCACTCCTGAGAGATGAGTAAGTATTATTCCTAGCATAAAAAAGAAGGAACTGAGGCAAGTCAGCTAAGTGACTTGCATCCAAAGCCACAGTGGGAATTAATGCCAAAGTTGTCATTAGCACACAGGAGTTCCTGATTCATAGCCCTGCACTCACACCAGGGCTATTATCAAATATGTGGGCCAGATAATAAGCTGGTGTAAATGTGCATAGTTCCACTGACTTAATTTCAATGGGGAAAAAAAACAACAACACAGATTTACATCAACTGAGGGTCTGTTTTTGTGACTTCAAATTTATTTCCATAAGAACTATAAGCTGCAGTTACAGAATAGGAGTATGAATCACTTCATTACAGGAGCAGGCAGGAAAAAAAAAGGAGCAGGCTATAATAAATGCTTTGCATTTATACTGCACAGCTTATCTAAGAATCTCAAAGTACTTTGATGCTTCCCCCACTCCATTTGAGGGGGGGGAAATATACAAAAAGTGACTGACCACGTTAACCAGTTTTTATTAAAAAATTCCTCCCTCACAATTCTCAAGTTTGTAAGTGATGTGCAAGTCCCTTTAATTATATTCAAGAAATCCCCCTCAAAGACTTACAGTAGCCAGGGTATACAAGTTAGGGAAGGTTTTTGTAGGATATACAGGTCTCATATAGGGAGAATGTGTTCCACAAGATCCTGAAAGTACAACAGAAAATACAGGTGTTAAAAAGTGGGACGATCATACACTGAAGGCAGAAAGATAGGAAGACCTTTGCTTAATTAACAAATACCAAGAAACATGTTTGAACCGATTTAAACAAACACGACTACTGCTTAAGCACCGAGTACAACAATGCTAAAGCACACGTATTAAATAGACACGCATGGCCTAAAATATGACAACACTTTCCCTCGTACAAAAAGATGAAGAGAAATAGTTTGGCTATAGATGTATAAAACTAGGTAGATTGAAAAGAAAGAAGTGCTCCCCTTCCCTCCTGGGGGAGGGATAGCTCAGTGGTTTGAGCATTGGCCTGCTAAACCCAGGATTGTGAGTTCAATCCTTGAGGGGGTCACTTAGGGATCTGGGGAAAAATCAGTACTTGGTCCTGCTAGTGAAGGCAGGGGGCTGGACTTGATGACCTTTCAGGGTCCCTTCCAGCTCTGTGAGATAGGTATATCTCCATATATAATTAGTCCTTCAGCTCATTTTCACTCCAAGTTTGCCCATATTAGCAGTAAAGTAACTCCAGAAAATTCATGCTAATTTCAGGTGACAAACACACTGTATTAATCAGTCTGAAACTGTAATTCCAGAGTTGTCACAGGGAAATTTTCACCAGACTTCCCATTCACATACAGTAGTGCACAGAGTTGCTACTACACGTGTTGAATTCAAGATCAGGTTTGTTTAGGGTTACCATATTTCAGCACGGAAAAAAGAGGACGGGAGGAGCC